GCCTCACTGCTGAATGTGTTTTGTCTGTTATTATTGTAAATGAGGTCTGGCGACCGTGACGTTTCCCAACCAGTCATTACTAATAAATTGGGTGGGAGCTGATTTTCATCCCTTTATTAATCTCTTATTAATTCTAAACAATTGTTCAATTGCCACTCTTGGATGTTATGACATGAGGTACTTATTTTCTTTTTTGGTCTTCAAGAACTTCTGGGATATTAAATGTTGGCAACACCATTCATCCTTGAATAAAGAGAGAGAATACTTCGAGCTGTCCCAACCTAAGGATGTTCACTGATGGTCTAAGTTTTTGGTTTATTTTGCGGTATTAAGAAATCATTCTGGGCTAACCTCATAGTTCGGTGGTGAAGGGAGCCAGATCCCACAAAGGCGACTGCGGTTCATGTCCTCACCCCAGCTTGGTAAACACTGAGCACACGTGCGTGCATGTCCACTATCCTGACAGGATGGAGAAATGGAGCTGGGGTTGCAACATGACCCCATTGGTGCTGCTGTCTCCCTCTGTCTAATGCTACTGAATAAAATGGGGGAGGGGGACCTCAAAACAGATAACTTAAAAAACAACTAACGCTACTGAATAAAATGGGGGAGGGGGACCTCAAAACAGATAACTTAAAAAACAACTAACGCTACTGAATAAAATGGGGGAGGGGGACCTCAAAACAGATAACTTAAAAAACAACTAACGCTACTGAATAAAATGGGGGAGGGGGACCTCAAAACAGATAACTTAAAAAACAACAAAAACAAACAAAAAAAACACATGGGACCAGCAGTTGAAATAATGGCTATGTCGCTGGACTCGCTTGTAGTCGACTGTGGTTCAAGTCCCGGACCCGGTGGCTTAAACTCATGCTGGACACGTGTGCATGCGTGCCCAAGATCCCAAGAGGAGAATGGAGGAGAAGGGATTGCGGCATGGCCATCCCCCCTGGGGGGTGATTTCTCGAGTTTGGTATGAGTTTTGTTTTTAAACCCAACATGCAGTGTTGAAATCCATCGAATGTTTTCTCCGTGCCTGTTGAGGTGATGACGTGAGTCCTCATAAAAGAGGGCAATTTCCAGTTAGACTCCCTGCCTTGGAGGGTGCCCTAAGTTTTGGTTCCTGTCCAGTGAGCTCCAACAAACCGGAAAACCCAAGCTCAGCGTCACCAGCGCCAGCAAATTCCTTTGGAGAAAAAACAGGGTTCAGTGTCCCTCTTCCCCTGTGGGTTCGTGTTTTCCTTTGCCTTTAGCCTGCACAGTTCCTATTTTCTTGCTGTTCATGCATCTGTTTTGAGGCCCCCCTCCCCCATTTTATTCAGTAGCGTTAGTTGTTTTCACTGGGAGGGTTAGTCCACAATCCAAATATCCCAGAGCAGAAAACAGTGGCGGGAACGGCCAGCCTCACTGCTGAATGTGTTTTGTCTGTTATTATTGTAAATGAGGTCTGGCGACCGTGACGTTTCCCAACCAGTCATTACTAATAAATTGGGTGGGAGCTGATTTTCATCCCTTTATTAATCTCTTATTAATTCTAAACAATTGTTCAATTGCCACTCTTGGATGTTATGACATGAGGTACTTATTTTCTTTTTTGGTCTTCAAGAACTTCTGGGATATTAAATGTTGGCAACACCATTCATCCTTGAATAAAGAGAGAGAATACTTCGAGCTGTCCCAACCTAAGGATGTTCACTGATGGTCTAAGTTTTTGGTTTATTTTGCGGTATTAAGAAATCATTCTGGGCTAACCTCATAGTTCGGTGGTGAAGGGAGCCAGATCCCACAAAGGCGACTGCGGTTCATGTCCTCACCCCAGCTTGGTAAACACTGAGCACACGTGCGTGCATGTCCACTATCCTGACAGGATGGAGAAATGGAGCTGGGGTTGCAACATGACCCCATTGGTGCTGCTGTCTCCCTCTGTCTAATGCTACTGAATAAAATGGGGGAGGGGGACCTCAAAACAGATAACTTAAAAAACAACAAAAACAAACAAAAAAAACACATGGGACCAGCAGTTGAAATAATGGCTATGTCGCTGGACTCTCTTGTAGTCGACTGTGGTTCAAGTCCCGGACCCGGTGGCTTAAACTCATGCTGGACACGTGTGCATGCGTGCCCAAGATCCCAAGAGGAGAATGGAGGTTTTTGATTTCTCGCTTTCTGTCTCTCTGTCTTTGTCTCTCTGGTGAGCACACACACCCTATAGCAAAAGCCTCTCCAAAAAATAAAAATTAAATCCGTCCACACCTATTTTACTAAAGATTTAAAAATCAGAAGTAGATTTGAAAACTTGTGATTGCTTTTGTTTTTCACATTGGTGAGATTACTTTTGAGCTATTATGTGTATTAGTATTTTCAAATGTTGTATTTCTATAACTAGAATTAACTCAGTTTGACAATGCTGTATGGTCCTTCTATTTTTGTTTATATATTTAGGTTTTTGCCATAGGGTGTGTGCGCTGGCTGGAGAGAAACACAGTGAGAGGGAAAGTGAGAAATCACACCCCACAAGGTGGATGGCCATACCAACCCTTCTCCTCCATTCTCCTCCTGGGATTTGGGGCATGCACGCACACGCACTTGGTGTGATTTTCCAGCCACCAGATCCAGAACTCAAACCGTGGTCAGCCACTTCAGAGTCCAGCACCTTAACCATAACCACCTGCTGGCCTGCTGTGTTCTTTTTGATAGGAGACAGAGTTTGGCTTCCCAGTAGTTAGCACTCTTGCCTGTGTGGGTGACCTCCACGTTAGTTTCCGGGTGTGAATGTGTGCTCGCATGCTCCTGAGGAACGGTGTGGATACTGCGGAACTGTTTAATAACTGATCCTCCCATACTTTTTTAAAGATAATTTTGTTTGTTTGTTAAGTTCTTCAAGTGTTATTGGTCTATTCTCTTCTATTCTCTTTGAAGATCCTCATCTTAGGGGAACAGCAAGTGGCTTGGTGGTTAAGGCACTGGATTCCCACTGCTGACTGCAGTTCAAGTCCTGGACCCGGTGGCTTGAAAATCACAACACATAAATAGATAAATAAAAATAAATACATGTTAAAAAAAAAAAAAGCACCTCCTTCTTGATCAAGTAGCTCTGTGGTCAACGACACAATTTAAAGTACATAAAAGGGTATTATTTGCACGGCCATTGTCCCATTTTATGACTTACCTGCGGTAAGCAAGAGGACAGATATCAATGGTCAAATTGAACAAGGTCTAGTTTACCCAGCTAAGACAGGACCCGGTCCCGATCCCTCACTGAAGGCTCATCTGGAAAAGACTAGACACACCACCCTCGTATGCCGTTACTCCTGAGGCCTAGTTCTCAGGAGGTGCAGAGGCTGGCAGTAACGGATGGGCGGGGACACTGAGAAAGGAGGCTTCAGTCTTCGATCCGAACCCTAGACGGTCCCACAGGGAAACACCGCGGCCTGCTCTTTTCAGACTGATTGCACTTACGGTCATTTCCTGATGGCTCAGAAGTCCGTGACTGCCCGTCCTTCCTCCCCACACCATGAGTCGGGGAAAGTTCCCTAAAGGGCCCCTCCACAGTTCATCTGTCTGTTCAAGCCTCGAAAGGTTCTCTCTTTCCAAATTCAGTCCAGAATGGGCGTTGGGGGGGGGCGCGCCCTATGGCCAAATCCAGTCTTGCACAAAGGTGCTCACCTTGTTTTGCTAACAGAAGGCACTTTTTCTATTTTGAGACAAGCATCAGTTGCTCCTTCTTTTCAAAGGATGCAACAGGGCCATGACTTAGATTAGAGAGCCTCCTGGGATTACAAGGACTGGTTCGAATCGGCGTGATTTACTCTGGTTAAGTGCAGAGACCACAAAGTGCCGTAACAGTCCACAGGATGAACGAGAAGACAGTCACGGCCTCTTGCTCTCGATGTTATTTCTAGGCTCTTCTTTCAATATTTATGTAAGAATTTTTCACAATGCAAAGCATGAACTTCTAGATTAGAAATAACGCAGACATTTTCTCCGTACACTAAAAGGACTTCAAACAGCCATCTGATCTTTCCTTCTTTTAAAATGTATTTATTTATTGTCAGAAAGGCACAGGTGCTTGAGAGACAGAGAGAGGGAGAGGGAGAAGGCACCCTCGGTGGGGCGTGGTTCCAGGCAATCCTCTTTTCTCCACTTCTCCACCCTGTTCGGATTTGGGCATGCATGCACGCAAGCTCTGTTTTTCAAGCTGCAAGGGCCAAGCGGAACTGGGGTTGGCCATGTGGGAATCCAACTCCCTTAACCACTCAGTCATAGGGCTGGCCCAATTCTCCCTTCTTGACTAAGGAGAATGAGACAGTAAGTCATCAAGAATGGCAAGGCTTCCCCACCTAGTGAGAACCAGGACAAAACTGGCCCAGGTCTGAGTGGTGCACAGCTCTGGAAAGAACCTGCCAGTCAGAGGTGCCCTGCGGTTCCCTCCCTGGAATTAAGTCCCACATCGCCACAGGGCCACCCTCAGAGGGATGCAGTCAACATGTCCAACTCTGTCAAAGGGCAAACCCAACCCCTTCCTCTGCTTTGAGAAAACAGGAAGTGATTCAGATGACTACACACCGCCTCCCTTCCACTGACAAACCCAATGACACCAAGGGCTTCGCCCTCTTCGTTTCTGTCATTGTCATCATATCCTCTCCTGTCAGCCCTGCTGAAATCCGGCCAACTGACTAGCTTGAGTCATGTGGTCCAAGGGTTTGCAAAGATTCTACGGAACACGCTTGACTCACGTTCCACAGGAACGGGCGCCGTTTCCCCTGCTAGCCAGAATCCATGGCACCGCACGGTCCTGCCTTCCACCCTGGCTCCTTCAGAGAATAACCAAGGGTCTTCTGCGGAACAAAAGCATCTTCCTTGAGGAAGGCAGTGATGCGTGTAAGCCTCGAGAGTTTCTACTTAAATCAGGACGAAATGATTTCTTAGTCATTCTTTCCTTTAATGGAGAGATGAAGGGGAGGAAAAAACAAACAAACAAAACATACAAGCCCACACGCTCTGGTCATGCATTCTTTATTCCATTTCCAACCACGGTGCCGCATCCAGACCACGGGACACAAACCGGCAATCCACCGCAACCCCGCTGTACAACGATCTGAGGCTTACAGTACATTTAAGGCTTTTAAATTTGAAAAAAAAAATTTTTTTTTTTAAATTAAACCAAAGAACCCCCAAACCCAAAACCCCCAACCAATACATGTAGTGTAGCAATTTTAAGCATCTGACATTTCCGATGCTTCTTGGGTGCAGCTCCAGTGTCAAAACCCAAATAACTCTTCAACTAAAAAGATTCGTTTAGTGAAATCTTCATTACATAAATTCTTCAAAGCATAAACTTGGAATTTTTTTTGTCCTGGAAATGTTATAAAATTTTTTTTAATAGCAAAACATAGGAATAAAAACATATTAACAAAATGTATTCAATCATTTACATTACAAACAAGGAGTTTGCAGTTCATTGTTGCAGCCTGACAAAAGAAAACTGCCTGTTAAGAATCTATGCACAATGTCATTGCAAATATGTACAGTACTTTTAAAAAAGCCTACAAGGAGGACTTGATAGAAGAAAAGCCAGCTAGGCTCTTTGTTCGGCCAACCAGACAATCAAAATATTAAAACTCTGTTGGCTAGTAATAAATTTACACTTAAAAAAACCCCCAGTCTCCTTTTGTTTTGAATATTCCAGTTACTCCTACGTGGTTACAGTTGATGAAGCTGTTCATGACCGGCCCGGTAAATTACCCGTCAATGCATTGGCTTGGGGAAACACTGGCGTGTTAACAAAAGAATCAATACAGGGGTTTTCACAAGGGTTTTCCAGTTACACCACCACAGCTTCACAAAGGGGCTGAGCCCATGGATCCAGTGATCTGAAAGACAGCTGCACGTCCAATACCGAGAACGGTGGTGGAGGCAGGGTCGGGCCTGTGGAAACGAGTCAGGAACGGTGATGGGGGAGGTGGGAAGACAGGTGTGAGCGTACTTTATACAGCGTGAGAAAGCCCGGCCCGACGTTCGGCTCGCACCCCCACGTCCCCGCCGGCGCAGGAGGCTGGGGATCGCCGCTGTCCCGTTTAACGTGTCGCGGGAATCGGCCGAATGACCTCTAGATACGGAAGGCTGAGGCTGCGTCAGCTCTTGGGTGAGATGACCCTAGAGGGTGGGCATGTCTTCGTGGGTATCGAGTCATGACAGCTATCCAGTTAAAGCGTGTGCAGAACGGAGGACTCTTCTGTTCACAGTAAGTGAGGTAACATCCAGTTGTCCTTCAGGAATTCGGGAGTTCGTGAGATATGAACTGTTTTAGTCTTTCTAGGTATTGTGCATAAAGCTCTATGTCATTGTGCCCTGCCCCTTCGACCCAGAGGGGCTCCACAGCTCGGGGGCAGCGCTCATACATGGCGAGGCCATGGGAGAAGTCGATGACCTCATCCTCCGTCCCATGAATGACCAACACGGGAGAGGTGACCTTAGAGATCTTGTCAATGCTGCAAGACAGAATGGGGCACTCCTTTAGTTACGCGCAGACAGTACACATCACGTTAATGACACGCGAGTCGACGTCCGCCACCAGGGAGCTGACGTCATGGGTTGCTTTTTAATGACAGACTTTATTTTTCAGAGCAGAATTGAGCAAGAGGGACAGAGATTCCACATGGACCCCTGGCCCCCACACGGGCACAGTTTCTCCCATCACCCACACTCCCTCACCGGGAGCTCATCTGTTCCAGCGGATAACCCTCCATCCCCACATCATGGTGGTCTGGCCACCCTTTCTGCCATTCTTTCTAGTTAAGCCCCCCTCCCCTTCTCTTTAACAAACTTCTCATCTTGGAGTGATCTGGGATTCGCAGACAAGGTACAAAGATAATACAGAGTTCCCACAGAGTCCTAGCCCATTTCCGATGAGGCTAACATGGTACACCATGACACATTTGTCCAAGACGAGAAGCTGCCCTTGGTCTGTGACTATGACCTCCACTCCAGACTGTATTTGGATTCTGTTCGTTTTTCCACTAATGTCCTTCTTCTGAGGAGCCAATCAAGAATAATACATTGCATCCAGCCATTGTGTTGTTGTTAAAATATTTTATTAAAAACAGAACTCTTAAAAAGTATCAACGAACACACTAGAAACTAGTATTTTTGATGAAGTCGTATTCTGGGGGAGAGGATGTTTTAAAATAACAAGAAATGGGTCAGAACTCATCTGGTAAATGTCTCCTTGGAAAGCTAGACACGTAAGCCCCTGTCACTCCGGTTTTCAGGTCTCTTTTTTAGAGAGTTACCTTCAGAAGTATTAACAAGATACAAATTCCATTTCATAACAATTAATGCCTCATTTTTTGGACAAAAAATGTACCACTTAGCTTAAAAACTTAATGTAATTTGCCTCTGAATAACTTCTGAGTGTTTATACAACAATTACATCTATTCTCAAAGGAGGAGTATTAAGATCTTCAAAGGAATGTGTTTCAGGCTCTGACACTATATCCCAAACAACAACTGACAAGACTAAACCCTTGGGGTGAGTCGGCAGATCCAGTCCCTGCTGGGGCAACATGCATTCAACCTAGGAATCAATCAAATGAAACTCCGTGGCACAACTCGGTTTTGCATGTGAGGAATCTCATTTGGACACCTACTTTTCCCCTAGATTTACAATGACTTCTTTGGGACCAGCCGATGGCATAATGGTTATGTTGCTGGACTCCCACATCGCCAACTGCGGATCGAGTCCCACCCTGGTGGCTTCAAAGTCACGCTGGGCACATGTGCATGTGTGCCCAGAATCCCAGGAGGAGGATGGGGGAGAAGGGATTGTGGCGTAGCCATCCCCTCTGGGGGGTGATTTCTCGCTTTCTGTCTCTCTATCTCTCAGTCTTTCTGGCAAGCACACGTGTCCTATAGCAAAAATCACTTTAAAAAGATAAAGTGACTTCCTTTAACGGAGCTCAATACACACAATTATAAGGGCATTTACTGCACGGCATGATGGGCCAGGGACCAGGCTATGGAGCGCCTCTACCAGGAGGGGATAAAGAGTTCAATACCACGTCTAACCCTGAACGTAAAGAAGGCAAAAGAAAATAAACTACAAACGAGATAATGGTCAGGATTCCTTTTATTTTTTAAATATGAAAAGGAAATAGAAGAGCATCTTCCTTTAAGGAGAAGAACACAGAGGATTCTGTCATTTGATGGTAGCGGGTGTGTAAGAAAATGTGCACCAGATTTACCTTAATGATGAAGGTCGGTGTGACTGCTAATGGCTTGAAATCTATCATATTTTTTAGAAAATTATGATTTATTGATTTATGTAATTCCATTTGTTATTATTATTTTTTAATCTGACCAGACACAGACAGAGAAAGAATGAGAAAGCAGGCCACCAGGTCTAGGACTCGAACTGCGGTTGGCCTTGTGGGAATCTGGTGCATTCAGCCACCTGCCGGCCCCCAAAATCTATCATATTAATCAGTGATGGGACTGGATACAAGGAATGCCTCTTCTGCTGCCTCTAATCGCCAGCCTCACCTTAGCACATTACTTAGCCTCCCTACGCCTCAGTTTCCTAATCTGCACACGGAGCAGTGAACCCAGTTCTCAAGGCTGTGGTGGAGATGAAGGAGAATGAGCATGAAACGCACAGCTTGACAGCTGTTGGAGCAGACAAATTCAGCACAAGAGGAATCATTCAGGCTCAGCAAGTGGTGTCGTGGTTAAGGCGCTGGATCCCACATGGCCGACTACTGCGGTTCAAGTCCCAGACCCAGTGGCTTGAAAATCATGCCAAGGGATGTGTGTGCACACCCCAAAACCCAAGAGGAGAATGGAGGAAAAGGGACTGTGATATGTCCATCCTCCCTCGGGGGGTGATTTCTCACTTTCCCTCCCTGTCTCTCTGATGAGCATATGCACCCTATAACAAAAACTAAAAAAACAAGGGAAAAAAAAGGTGACTCATTCATTGGTTAATAATTAATACACCACAATTAGCTGTCATGGCTGTATTTTAAGGTATACGCTGATCTTACTAAAGAGCCATGCTAAAAAATCCTATTAATTTTGTTGCCAGGGTAACTCCTGGCATTGCTAACCACGAACATGCTAAAAATCTGGCTAGAGCTAACTGGCCTCTCGTTAGCAATTCAGCACAAAGGCGGGTGCACTGGAGATGCACGCGGACCCTGTTTAGCATTCCCAGCCACACGGCCAGAAATGCACGGCCCGCCATTCCCATGACACTGAATTCCGCGGGATCCTGGCACAAACTGCCCAGAGCTGAAGTCCGCTCGAGGTGTTCGTGGGAGGTTTCCTGCTAAAAAATGAGAGTAGCAGACGTTTACATAGCCAAATGCTGCTCTTTTCTTCCTCGGTTAATAGCAGAATGACGGCAATTAACAGGCCCGTCAAAACCCTCAAACTGCGATCTTTCTGCTGACACTTCTCCCATAAAACAGCAATGCGAATGTCTCGCGATAGCAATCTTGGGCTGTCTTTGGTAATGTATTGTGGGAAGGATGAAGGGGGAAATACTTTGGTTAGAAGACTTTCCTAGGGGTCTGACAGTGATGCAGCAGTACAGCGTGGTGCTCTGCGAGTCCGGCCCTCCTAGGCAGGTCCCCGGTTTGAGTCCCGAGCGCTCCCTGAGCACACTGGGCACGTGTGTGCCTGTGACCCAGAGCTGGCTGAGGCTGGGGTGGATCGCAAGGTACAGGCCCTCTTGGGGGGGCCTCCCTACATCCTCTGGCTCACAGAAGAAATACATAAACTATTTTTTTTAAGAGGTTTTTTGCTATAAGGCACGTGCACTCACCAGAAAGACAGAGAGAGACAGAGAGACAAAAACCGAGAAATCACCCCCCAGGGAGGATGGCCACGCTGCAATCCCTTCTCCGCCATTCTCCTCTCGGGATCTTAGGCACACATACACTTTTAAACAATCTTTTTTTTTTTTTTTTTAAGGTTTTGACCATAAGGCACACGTGCTTGCTGGAGAGAGAGAGCGAGAGAGCGAGAGAAAGTGAGAAAGCACCCCCAATGGGGGAGGGACACACCACAATCCCTTCTCCTCCACTCTTCTCCTGGGTTTTTGGGGTGCACATGCATATGTGCCTGTTGTGAATCTCAAGCCACCAGGTCCAGGACTTGAACCATCGTCAGTCACATGGGAGTCCAATATCCTAACCACCATGCCACCTGCTGCCCGCCCACCACGTAGTTTAAAAAATGCAGACATTTTCAAACAGAGGTATTCAAGAAGCCAATGTGCTCACTGCTCTTTCGTTCCGTTTTTCTTCCATTAGAGAGAACTAGAAAACGGCAAGGCACGGGCTGACAGGAGGAGGCACGGGCTGGCCACGAGCTCTCTCATTCTCGGGCTACCCACGGGGCTCACGGACACCTCTGCAGGGGACTAGGTCTCTGGTCAAGGTGGGAGAGCAGAAGAAAAGAGCCAAGTGAGTTGTTCGTTTACACTCACCCTGTGGCCAGTTACCAAGACCAGGCCTGGCCCGCGGAGCAACTCACACTAACCCTTCTGAGCATGCTCCCTTTCCCCGTACCTGTGTCGTCTGATGGGAAGGGGAGGAGCACTTTCTCAGGTGCGCTTGCTCTGTAGTTTATTTATGTGTGCTTGCCGGAGAGAAGAGAGAGACTGAAATCACCCCCCAGGGGGGATGGCCACACCACAATCCCTTCTCCTCCATTCTCCTCCTGGGATTTGGCATGCACGCACACACGCCTGGCGTGAGTTTTAGCTGCCAGATCTGGGACTTGAACCACAGTCCGCTATGTGGGGGTCTAGCAGCATAACCATTACGCCATCTGCTGGCCCCCTTTGCGGTGTCAAGTAGAGCGCCCGGACCACCGCCGACCACCTCATCACACGCTCTGTATTCGCCCTTCACGATGCCCTCACACACGTCTCCCTGAATGAACAACGACCTCGACGTAGGTGCTTCTTTACCCCGCACGGGGCCGCTGACTCCATCCATCTTGGCTCAGGACGTCCAAGGCCCTAGACACCCTCTGGGAGATTTTCACAAATAAGTCAGGCCCAGGAGGCAAGAGACGTCTCTCCGGAGCGTAGGTGGCACGGCTGCCACCACCAGGGCCCTAGTGCAGGGTCTGAGGTGTGGCTGCGCTCAGTAAACTGTTACAGGCCGCGCGCGGGGCAACGGCAGGCGCAACCCGGGTCGAGTGCAGCCAAGCACTTGCAGACTTACCTGGGGAACGCATCGAAGCAGTACGTTTTCCTGGTATCGGGAAAGGCCACGCGCAGCCCCGACATCAGCGGGGAGTGGAGGATCACGGCCGCGCACTCGTACCGCGAGGCCAGGTCCACCGTGGGCACGGTGCCGATGCTCTGGCCGTACAGGATGATGTTCTCGGGGCTCACGCCGTACCTGCGGAGACAGGGGCGTGGGCATCAGCTACCATGTGACGGAGACCCGGGACACCTAAAACCACAGCACGCCCGCATCCGCCAGCTTCCACGCCCGTCATCAAACTTGTCCGCTTCAGCTCCAAACAGATGTCATCCTGACAGAGACGAGGGTCAGGGGTCCCTCTCAGTACCAAGTGACTACGGGTCTGTTTTCCGCAACATTTTCCAAGAAATAATGAACGTGACACTTCTGCTTTGAGGAACTAAACGAATGCATTATGAACTTCAGTATCCACACCGTCGTCCCATTTCCGGTTATTCCTGCTCTGTGTTTTCTTGAAGAATCACACATGCGCTCTGAAGTAAAAACAAAAGCCTCTCTGGGAACTGGTCCTATTACTATTAAGAACACTCTGGGTACAGCTTCCGTGACGTGGACATTACACCACTGGCTTTTCTGCAGACCCAAGATGTTAGGACTTCTCGGCCGCCATAACCCATGGACCAGTTCCCGAAATAAACCTCCTCCTCTGCATCTACACACGCATCCTAGTGCATCTGTGTCTGGGGAACCCTGACCCATCTGGTGGTGAACCCCAAATTCTGATTCCCAGCCCTGGGCTTTCTCGGAAGATCCAAAGCAGAATGCCTTCCGCCTACAGTACGGGGAATTAAAAGACCCTGGTGCCCGGTCCCCATGCCACAATCCTTTTCCATTCTCTTTTTGGAATTTTGGGCCCACGCACACATGTGCCCAGAGTGATTTTCAAGCCTCCCGGTCCGGGATTTGAACTGTGCTTGATCATATGGGAGTTCAGCACCTCAACCACCATGCCATGTGCTGGCCCTCTCCCTTCATTTTAAATGACCCTGCGAGGAGGTATCCTCGTCCTGGTTTACACGCGAGCACGTAACAGTGAAAGGGAGTAACTGCTCGGTCCCCCAGCTGGCGGGGAGTGATGAAGTAAACCGTTACCGGACGGGAACACACTGCAACCCGACGTCTCAAACCACACACACCGTCCTCTCCTCAAAATCTGCTCAGTGACTCGGTCACCAGGCGCAAATCTAAAAACGATCCTCCCCTCAGTTGCCAATCGAATATCCAAACTCAAGGTGAAGACGGAGGAAACACGCCAGGAAAAGGAGCACGTTCGGCCAAAGATCGAAACCCAGACCTGGCAGTGACCTCCTAATGCGGTGAGGACAGACAGCCTGGATGCGTGTCTGCACCCTGTCTCGCTCTCACTTCCTCGTTGTGTGTTTGTTTACCAGAGGGAGCATGCACTTGGCAGAGGCAGAGAGAGAAAAGGTGCGGAGAAAGTACCCCGGCCCAGGGCTGCACGGCCCTACGCAATCCCTTCTCCTCTCCATCCCGTCTGGAGGTGGGGCATGTCCGCCTGGGTGTGGGGGTGTGTTTCTCAAACCACAATCAGCCATGTGGGATCTGGGTCCTTCGCCACTAGACCACAGGGCGGGCCCACCGTTTCTGCACTTATTCAGTGAGTTGAAAAAAACATTGCTGAGAATCCCTTTTCAACCAGGCATGGAATCAACTGCTGAAAGACAAAGACGCTAACAGAGGGCATGCAGGGTTACAAGGAGGTTATGGTCCGGTGGGGACTCAAAGAAAAAGCAGACAAGTATGGGGTGGGTGGCAAGCAGAGCCAGATCTACGGGTCAGAGTTGACTAGGACATGGGATGTCGCAACAGAGGGAGCGGGAAAATCAAGACTGGATCAAGGTAAAAAGCAATGGGGGGGGTCAAAAAGTTCAGGGAAACAGGCAATTATGAAAAAATAATTGTGCATGGCTTCCAAAACGCTGCACCCAAATAAACTTACACTTTCTGAGCACTTGCAGAGACAGGAAGCACGCACCCCTCTCCCCCCAACACACACACAACACAGCAAAGTCAGTTCACAATCCCCTCCTCTTCATCTCTCCATCCTATTAGGATCTGCCCCCCAGTCCCATCCCCCACGCACACACACCCAGAATGCTTTTCAAACCACCAGGGCTGGGATTTGGACCACGCAGTCTGCCATGTGTGGGCCAACTCCTTTAACCATGAAGCCATGGGGCTGGCCCTAAACTCATACTGTATGTAATTCCACCTTCCCACGAACTGTCTAGAGACTCCACGCACGTGGAGAAAGGGTCTCGTCTGCTGTTGCTCAGATGTGGGTCTGTCTGGATGAGGAATAAACACACGTTTTTATCAGACTCTCCTGGACCTCGTCCTCAGCTCTGCTTCTGACCTGACCGTGTAAGGAGACGTTTCCTGCACACTTCTCCAGGGGAAGGCCACGCTCACCCAGTGACACTAAACGAACTCACTTTATAACACAGGTTCAAGAGAAACTCAGGACCCTGGGGCCCCTCAGCAGGTTCTGACTCTGAAATCAGATACAACTGAAACCAGGCTGCAGTCTTGAAAGCAACAGCCAGAACTCTGGGGGCTGTAGAGAACCTGTACGAGGCCCCCATTTCACTGCACCCTAAGTCCCGTCACCAGACAGATAACACTGAGAGAACCGTGATCCCACACGTGTCCGTGCCCGAGCCTGGGCCGCCATCTGCAACCCCAGACCGCTGGGACCTCCTGCCCGCTCTGCTGTAAGCCAGTGCCCATCCCCGAGTCTGGGCTTAGGGAAGAAGACCTGCCAGAGAGGTGGGCTCCTCCCCCACCGAAACCACAGCTCCCTCCAAACGGCGGAGCAGCAAGCCTCGAAGGAACGGGGACGTTTCTGAGCACAGTGAGGCTCAAACCCAGAGGCTGGCATCAGTGAGAAGTCAGTCAGTGGGTCAGGGTAACCCCCGGGGCTGGAGGACAGCAAGATTAAAGTGTGGGCAGAGCATCCAGGAGTCAGGGGCGCAGCTGAACACGGAAGTCTGCCTGTGTGGGAAGGAAGGGCGAGGAAACAAAACACAAAGTAATCCGGGGCAGAGACAGGCGCCAGGGGCTAGGAAGTCGGACAGGAGCCGGCCCGCCCCAAGCCAGAGAGCACCTGCAGACGAGCTCGCAGCACAGCAGTGGAAAAGGCAAGGAGAGGGGCCGGCCAGCAGCGCACTGCTCAAGGCAGCTGGACTGTCGACTGTGCGGCTAGAGTCCGAGACCTGGCAGTTCGAGACACACTCCAGGCGTGTGAGTGCACACCCAAAATCCCAAGAGGAGAATGGAGGAGAAGGGGTTGTGGCGTGGCCGCCACCCCTTGCTCTCTCTCTGGTGAGTGCACACACGCTATAGCAAATTTTAAAAGGAAGGAGAAAATATCTAAAAAGGAAACGACTTGAGTTAGAGAAAAGAACCAGAGGCTGCCCCATACGTGCACAGGTGACACGGGGCAAAGGGGACAGCGACGGGGTGAGCTCTGGCTCAGCACACGGCAGTCGCCGGGGCACGCTGAGTGCAGCTGCTCCGTGTGGAACCTGAGTAGGGAAGGGGAAGCCTCCCAGGAGGCCGGGGGTTCAGTACTCAGAGAAGGCTTCAGGACCTCTGCGGCAATGGGGTCAAGAGTGAGGCATTTTCTGCGTCTGGGGAAGGCAGCAGCAGGGGTCTGCTCCAGGCCACTGTGTCTTTCTGACAATGCTCCCCTGGTTCCCTTGGGGCCACGCAGCCCGGCTTCTCCCTTCTCCGGGTGTTTTCCTTCTGTTTCCTTCATCCGTCCTTCTTCCTCCTCCCACACGACAGCTGGACGACCCTCCAACTTCACATTTATTTCCTCGTAGAATTTCCTCGTGGACCTCGTCCAATGCCAGCGCCCAGCACCGTGGCTGACGTGGGCCAGTTGTGCAGTGCACACCCACTGAGTGCCACCTGGTGGCGCGGGGTTCTAAAACCCGCTTACTCCTGACACCTGGGCTCCGGGCTCCCAGCCGCTCCTTCCCAGTGCTGTGTCCTCGCTGCGCACCTTTCACACCCACTCCTCATATTCCCCACCCCTTCCATGTCCGCATTCGGCACCCTCTTCACCTCTGGGCTGACGAGGCGGCAGGTGCCCTAGTTCCTGACAACTGACCTGATTTCTGTCCCGGGCCTCACTCGGATTGTGACCCACGGCATACACTCCGGCAGCTTACCAGCCTCCATCCCGGCTTCTCCCCTGTCCCCACCCAGGGCAGACCCTGGGAATTCCCCAGGCCGAATCAAGGCCCATCTGGCCCCCTCTCTCCCAGACCTGTTCTACGTACATAAACGCGACACCCTAGCCACTGCCCCGCTCACTGCACCTTCCGTTCCCATGACATTCTTCCTCGAAACACAAAGCAGCCTTTGTTATGTTACTCTGCAGATCAAACCTTTTGGCCAATCTCGGTACTTGAGATGAAAGTCCATGTCATGTGATCTCCCAGATCTGGCCCTACCTGACGACTCCGGCCTTTCCTTCTCTGTCAAGAGAGGTCCTGACTCCTCTCCGTCGCCTTGAAAACTCTGGGGTCCTTCGGGTCCACTCCAGGGCAACCTCCCTCCCTCCCTTTTCCTGACCCCTCCTGCCTAACAGGGAGCAGAGCTCAGCACCACGCTGCCAGTGGGAGGCCAGCAGGGAGGGCTTTTCTGTCCGGAGCGCCTACCTGGTGCTCACGCCGAGAGGCTGTGTGTTCGTGATAAGCCACGTAGGGGCACGCCCTGACTGCCACGTGGCCCCAAGCTCCACGCGGGCAGGTAAGATGGCGTGCCTGCTGGAGTTTACCAAGCCCACACACTCTGGGCGCAGTCAGCTGGGAGGTACCTCCTGCCTTGAACAGGATTTGATCCTCACCAAAGGCTGTTTTTGAACAGATTAAAACTAAATTTCAGACATAGCTATCATTCCAATGGGAGGATAACTCGGGGGAGGAGGGGAGTCTTCAAAAGTTTCATGGAAAATACGTACTACAAGAAAACTATGCGTGGGTTTTCAAAATCATTTTGTACCAAAATCAACTCAGACTTCAATTCTATTTTCCAAGAGTGTTTTGAAGTCCGTTCATATAATTCACTCCAAGTTGAACATCTTGGGGATCTGGGTAGGAGCA